TCTTTGATTTATCCAAGCAGAAACATTGTTATCTAGCATTAAACCGTTATTCTGCTGAAATCAGAGGCAGTAATAGATTGTCTCTTTAAAAAGAATGTATCAGCTTGTCAACTTTGATCAGATGGAGCACTGAATGGATTGCATCTGTCAAAGCATCTTTGTTATGTTTTCAACTTAACTAGCATAATTTAGTTAACTGACATACAGAGGAAAATGCTCAATTTTTATTTAAAAGAAAGCTGAAAATATGATGTATCTCAGTTATGTTATATGTAATATGCTCCTGACAGATGTCATGTATGTTAATATGTGAAATGTTGCTGAGCGTTCCATAATCGGCTCATTTGTTACCAGGCTAAGGAAATGTCACAATTTTAAGGAATAAATCACCTGAAAATTTTAGTTAGTAGAACAATAAGGCCTCAGCATTTTATTTGTAAGGCTTTTACAGATTGTTGAATCATGACAATAAAGATTGTGTCAAGGTATATAAATTGTAAGGAATTCAAAATTAAATTAATAGTTTTAATTTCCAAACATTCACTATCCCAGTAAGTACAAAACAAAAGTGAATGTGCTTGATCTGAGCACTTTGGAAGGAGAGTTAGGAAGATCTCTGTGAGTTCAAGGCCATCCTGGTCTACCTAGTAAGTTCCGGGCTAGCTAGGATTTCAGTGATTAAAAATGGACAGGGAGGGTAAATTATAAAATCATTTTGCTCCCTTTTCTGTGACTTTTCTTCCTTTCAAGTAAAAGTGAAGTATATAGTATATTGGTAGAAAATAATAAAAAGTAAACAAGAACAGTGGCTAAAGTCTCAGATATCACAAGAAAAATGGTTGCTTCATGTTGGTGGTGGTGCTGGGGATTGAGTTCGGGATCGTGAGACAGACATTCTACCACTGAAATGTGTCCCCTCCCTTGGAAGCCTTGTGAACTTTAAATGGATTGATCAGGGAAGGTTTGGGACAGGTACATGGTATGATACTGTATTAGGGGTTCTCTAAATTAACGGAACCAGTACACACACACACACAGACACACACACACACACACACACAGACACACACACACACAGACACACACACACACAGATTTATAGAATCTGAGTAGTCCAGCAATGGCTGCACCACGCTGGAGAGGCTGAGACTCTGTAGTTGCTCAGTCCATGAGGCTGAATGTCCCAGTAGTCCCAATCTGGCACTGAAGGTCTTATAAATTCTTAAAGATCAGCTAGTTTTCAGTCTACAGCAGCAAGACAAATTCACCAGCGAGAGAGAAGGCAAGCGGCAAAAAGTGAGCACTCTCCTTTGCCATGGCCTTTTATACGGGCTGCCACCAGAAGGTAACACCCACATTTAGGGTGTAATCCAGCTTCAGATGATCCAGTTGAGATCGCTCCCATTTCAGTTAATCCCAGATCCAGTCAAATTGACACCCAGGATTAGCCATCACAGATACCAAATACTTTTGGGTGGTCATTGCCTGTATATTTTTATGTCTGTTCCTATCATTTCCTCATTCTTTTTGTTGTTGTTGTTGCCCTTAAGTTTTTCTCTGTAGTTTGACCCCTTTGTGTTGCAAGTATTTCATTTTGTTAATTTTCCTTTTAAGCTGCTTGTTCTGTTTAACCATCCAGCAATTTGAAAACTTTGGGTTTTTTTTTTTTTTAATGTGTATGCGTGTATTGCCTGCATATAGGTAAGTGCACCGTGTCATGCAGGCAGCAGAAGACAGAAGAGGTTGTTAGATCCCCTAGGACTGGAGTTATGGACAGTTGTTAGCTGCCATGTGGGTGCTGGGATTTGAACCTGGGTCTTTTGCAAGAACAACCAGTGTTCTTAACCACTGAGCCATTTCTTTAGCCCCAATTTTAAAACTTTGTTGTAAACTTTGTAACTGTTTACTTTTGATTTCTTCTAGATATTGTGTTGTACTTGGGAAAGACTCTTTCCCCCACCCCACTCATGATTACAAAGGAGTTTTCTATATGTGCCTGTATATTCATAGTTTTACTTTCTCTGGATTGAAATATTTAATTTTGCCAGTTATTCTTTTTTGTTTATGTTCCAAATAGACACCTTCCTCCTTGTGCATATGTGACTGAGGGCTTATTGTATATACAACATATTTTCTTAATTCTACTTTATAGTATAGAAATTGCATGCAGTCAGGTCTCGGTCTCTAATAAATAAAAAGTGAATGCTTGGAAGAAGGTATATCAGAAACAGTAGAGACTGGGATGTATTGCTTAATAAATGTTAATATTTTTTGTCCTCATTTCTATTTATTGTAGAAACTTACAAATTCTTACAGTATTTTAAATCACTGTAACTACTATATAACTCTTATTTACCCTACTAAGTGGTACATTTACCTGACATCTGAGTGTTGTATGAAATGCATGATGTTCATTTTCTATTTTGTGCCTTCTGTGCTTGACTCCCAGGAACCCACACAACTTTTGGTAATTAAAAGGATTTTTATTTTAGTGGTAACCAGAAGGCTGGACCATTCCATTCACAAGAAGATTTGAAAAAGAAAAACATTTGTATTTAAAAATAATTGCGATAGTTCTTTAGAAATAGAAAGTTGGTGAATTTTAATTTTCACTTAGCATCTTGAGAGTGAGCTGCCCTTGATAACAAGTCCCCAAACCAACACTCCCTTCCTATCTATATGCGCATGCTGCACAGGTCCTAATATGTATTCTTTAATAGAGATTAGAATAGATACACAAAGCAGCAGCACAGTGGTGTGCCTTCTTAGTCTACTATTGCCAAGCCCAGTGCAGGGCCAGAACCAAGAAAATTCATTCTTAACAAGCTGCAAGTTAGAGTAATTCTGATCTTGGGAGAGGCTATGGCGGATTTGTGTGTTAGTCCTTGCCTTCCACCTTGTTTGGAGCAAGGTCTCTTTGTTTCTTCCTGCTGAGCACTCGAGGCTGGTTGGCCCATGACCTCCTAAGGGAAAATATCCTCCTCCCATCTAGCCATAAAAGATCATTGGGTTTACAGGTAGGGTTGCACCCTACCATGTCTGGTTTTTGTGTTGGTTTGGGAATTCAAACTCAGGCCCTCACACTTAACAGGTTAAGTGCTTTACCCACTGAGCCATCACCCCAGAAAGTATTGTTTGTTCCACTTGGCTGGTTAGCAGCTCAGATTAAGTAATTTACCAGATATTTAACTGGCAGAGCTGTGATTTGTTTTTGTTGATTTTTGTTTTTTGTGTTTTTTGAGACAAGGTATCACTATGTAGGCCTGTGTGGCCTAAAACTCAGAGGCCTATCTACCTCTGCCTGTGCTTCTACCTCCTGAGTGCTGAGGTTAAAGGTATACACCACCATTCCTGGCCAGAGCTGTGATTTAAACTCATGTCCAGTGCTCATGCATTTGCTTTATTATGCCATTGCTCCCTCTCCAGACATTATGCTTGGTTGCCTCGATTCTAACCCATATATGTATTTAGTATGTTGTTACATGGTGTGTTATAATAGCAGTTACTCTCGCACATACTGCTTATTTGACGTTGGACAGGTCATGTGACCTGGATGTGAATGGCTTGCATGCCAGATATTATAATATTGGATTAGAAACTCTCTGAGATTCTCTTTAGGTTTCCACAGACCTTCTCAGATGCCCTTCTTCAGGTTATGACCCTTCTCGTATCCTGTACCCTATTTGTTTCATAAATAGATTGGAACCTTGCTTTTCTAGAATTTCAAATGGGAAGGAATTATAGTTTATAGTTGTCTTCTTAGTGCGTGCCAAACTGTCTACCATTTTGTTAGGGGGAAAAAAGATAAAATTAAGTGCAATTGTACTGAAAGATTTTTGTTTTGTCTTTGTTACAACTTTTAAAACCTAGTCATTTGATTTAGGGGTCTAGAAAGTTTGGTTAAATCAAAATGACACAGTGTCAGGGTTTTTTTTTGTTTTTTTTTTTTTTTTTAACTGTTTATGGTACTCCTGTGCATTATTCCTTAGTCAAATGTAGGAAAGTTGACATGTGAAAGCTTATATGAAGATGTATTGGGACTCTAAATATTTATATTTGAAAGCAGTTTTTGAAGAGTTACTGTAAGATGTGACTCATTCTATAATGTGTACACAAGTATATAATCATTAGTGCTCTTGGTATTTAGAACTCATTATGCTCAGTTATTTCATCTTAAATTATATTGTTCTGTTTATGGACAATGAAACTGTCAAGAGAAAAATGGAAGAGCATGTTGATCTTTTTAGAGTTCTTTACATGCCATGACACTTTTGCTTACATCAACCAAAATAAAATATAAAAGACCAGTGAGATGGCTCAGCTGGTAAAGACATTATCCACCAACCTTGACAACCCAAATTCAACTCCTCGTAGCCACATTATGGAGGCAACCCACTCTTGTAAGTTGTCCTCTGACTTCCACATGTGTCTGCTATGGCACATTAACACCCCTCCCTAATAAGTGTTAAAAAAATATTTTTAATACAACATGGAGAGAATTTGGGGCATTGATTTTTAGGTGTCATCAGAAATCATTCCACCCTTTACAGATATTTTTTTTTTTAATGGACAATAGGTGTTTTCTTTGAAAATGTTAAATGGCTTATAGCCTTTGTTCTTCTGTACTTTTAAAACTCTGGTGTATGATTGTTCCTCTGAATTATAGTCTTAAATGCACAGTTATATATCTCTGGGCCAAAAATCATAGTTTTCAGAATTTGAATGATTCATGAGTGGAAACCCTCTGCACTGACCATATTTTGTGTCCATTCCCTTCTTTCCCTCCTGCCTTTGCCTATCAATTCTCTACATTGAGTAACTCCTTCTGGTTTGTAAAACTAATACGTGTCACAATTAGTTTTCAGTATTCCAACTCTTGTTTAAGACAAGAAAGCAATAAAATAATCAACAATAGCATTTTTAATTTCTAAATTACTATGGAGTGTTCCATTTCCCTGGCCTGTTTTATTTTAAATGTATTTTGTTTATTTTCATTTTAGGCCACTGAAAGGTATGATATATTTGATCCAAGACAGTCCATTTCAGCCCAGGAATCTACTGTGGTGACAAGGACATGGGACTCCTCCCGCCAGATTACAGATGGTTCAATACAATTGACATCCTGGCTGACAACTGTGAAAAGGAACCTTGGATTATTTTATTTTATTTTTGTGGAACACCACAACTCCAAATCCGTAGAACACATCAGGTAATACTCTTCTGTCCCTTCCAGAGAGCACTAATAGTTTTTATTACAAATCATACATACCAAAATGAAGGAGCCCAGAGTATCTTCTGTAGCCGTCCTCTCCTCTCCCCACTTTGCATACGGAATTGTTTTTGGAATGAACACTGAGCTTCTGGTGTGGGATCAAATTAAGGAAGGCTTTTGCTTATTGTTTACTTGCTGGTTAGAGTACCCTCAGAGTTGTCACACTTTTCCTTGACTCTTGGTGTCCAGTGCTCCTCCCTTCTCAGCCTTATGAGTGCTGGGGACCATAGCCTTGCCTAAAGAAGACATGATTTTTGTTGTTTTAATTCAGTTTATTCTGTGATTTTACCATTTTCTTCCCTTTTCACCTTTCAGAAGTACTTATTTGTATTTAATTGTAAAACTCTTTTATGTAAAGAATCCTTTAATTTTCCAGTTTCATAAAAAGAAGGCAAGTTTACTAGTAGCTTTTTCATCAAGACTTTATTATGAAAATTGTCTAAAGTATAGAAAAGTTGAAAGAATTTTATAGTGAGCCTCATATAACCAACCACTCCTTGATTTTGTAGTTACCAGTTACCATACCTGTCTGAACCAGTTTCCATGTGCCCTTTATCTCTAGCTTTGGCTTAATCTCTGTTACAGTATCTAGTGTGAAATTCCCATTGTTTTCCTTAAATTCATTAATTACATGAAATATATTGACCTTTATGTTTGATCTCATAGGAATTTCATTTTCTGGAGTGTGTGACAGTACATGTTTGATATTAAATCACATAAAATATGAGACGTTTCAGTACTTTATTCACATTATCAAACAGAATTGTTAACTCTGACTCCAAAGTACATTTTATATAGAATGTTACTTTTTGTTTTTTAAATTACTTCCTTTTGAAATTCAAGGCAATTTCAAAAGCTTGAAATTTTAGGTTCTTGAGAGATGATGACTCAGTGGTTAAGAGTATTTACTGCTCTTACAGAAGACCTGGGTTCAGTTCCCAGCACTCATATGACCGCTGACAACTGCCTGTAACTCCACCTCCAAGACATCTGGACTCTTAAGGCACTTGCATCCACGCGGTGCACATAAATTCGTGTGGTTACACATAACATACACTTAAAAATGCGGCTTTAATCCCAGCGTTTGGGAGGCAGAGGCAGGCGAATCTTTGTGAGTTCAAGGCCAGCCTGGTCTACATAGTGAGTTCCAGGACAGCTAGGGCTACAGGGAGACTGTCTCAAAAATACAAAAAATAAAATAAATAAATAAATAAATCTTTTTTCAAAGCTTGGAATTTTAGGAATCCAGGTGAAAACTGATAGAAAAATATTTCTATATTACAAAAGAAAATATTCATAATACAGTTTATGGAATAATGTTCATAGTATTCCTTTAGAGACAGATACTTTAATGTTCTGTAACTATATAACCATTCAGCTATTACTTTTACACTATGAAAGATCATAGTCCTTGAAAGCAGGAATTTTGTTTTTGTCTATGTATATTCAGCATTATTCTTGGGCTATAGAAGGCACTCAGTCAATATTATACAGTAGCTGAATGTAAAAAGCATTTCAAACTGAATTAAGATTTCTTTTCTTTCTTGCTAAGGCTTCAAGTTCCCTGTAGAATTCTAAAATAACCTTTGCTAATGAGGATGTCTGATACTGTTACTATAAAAGATGAATCTGAAACAATGAAGGATTTGGAGGCAGAAGTGAAAGATACAGCCAGAGTTGAAAATCTTATCAAATCAGAAAACTATGGGAAGATATTGGCAGAGAAGAATGAACGTTGTATTGACAGCAATATTGATTTGCAGGTAAACAGTTTTCTTCATGGCTACAGATGCCTAATATTTATTACATAATTGCTTCTTACCAAACAAAACATACTTTTCAGAATTCTGAAAGGGCAAGTTGACCTTTTCATATATACTTATTAGTTTATTTTGGGATCATCTGGATAAGCTTGCTGAGTCTTAGCGCTTTGATTTGCTTCTATCTGTCACATAATTCTTTCCATTTCTGCATAGCTGGTATGGTTTTATTGCCTTTCTACTTTATTATTTTACCTTTACCTTATCAGTGCTGTAAGAGTTCGTAATTAAACTTATGAGCTCTTAGAGAAAAGGGAAATAGTGATTGAACCTGAAGCTCTATTGACAAAAACAGCCCTCTAGAGATTTTCTCTGGGCAGTCAGCTGTGAATGATTAAAGAGGCTTATGAGGAAGAAGCCAATCCTACTTAATGCTTTAGATGCTGTGCCTGCATGATGATTTAGAACTAACTAAATCCTGAGAAGGCTTTTAATTCCAGAGAGAGATGGAAATTAAGTTGGAGAGAATGGCTGGACCCTTGGTTCACTAGACCTTAAGTACATCTATCCATAGTTCCCCCCATTATGGTAGGCCCATATAGTCAGATAAATTATGTGGCATTTCAGGCATCCCAGATAAAATGTTCCAAGATACAAGAGAGCCAACCAAAGCTTGGATCCAGGCTTGGTATCTGAGAATATCTAACAACCTTTTCAATGATACTCACTGATAAAGCAAGCCCAGAGGAAGCAGACTTAGATCCCATTACTCGGATAGGAAAGTTTTTGTATCAACCTGAATGCTACCACTGAAACTATCCTAAAATGCTGTTTTTGACATTAAAGCTTTAGTTTTAGTGTTAGTTAGCTTTGCATGGCTGTGACAGATACCTAAGAAAAACAGCTTAAGTGAGTGAGGAAACACATTTATTTTGGCTTACTTTTAGAGGTTTAAGTCCATAATTGACTGGCTCCTTTTTTCTTTTATTTATTTATTTATTTATTTATTTATTTATTTATTTATTTATTTATTTTTGCCTGT